TGGAAGAAGCAATCGACAAGTGCACCAATTGACCAAAAGATATGTTGATTAGATTACAACAATTTCTATCATTAAAGCAGCAGTTATCACCATGTACACAACTGCAATGTTTATTTGTTGTACGCGACAACTTATAGCGGTAAGATTTCACATGCTATGTTTCCTCTGTAACATTTGATCAAAAGAAGGGGTGTAAACAGTGTATGTAAAATAGGTGCAGTTAAAGACTGAATTATTTTATGGTATTTTTTAATTAACTTAATGTATTTTTGTTTTTGTTTTAACATTAAACGGAGAAAAGATAAATGTCAGTGTCTGCCGTCACCGATTTACAACGCAGTACAATGTACAGCTTAACGTACTTTTTAAGCCCACATGGTTTTTCGCACAAATTAAGGTCACTCTGTTGCAATGAAAATGACCATTTCCGAACTGCAGTATAATGATATAGCCCTTCGTTATATTACATATACGGTGTAAATAATAAAATATGGATACTAAAAAATTCCAAGGAACTTTTGGAACATTTGAAATAACAGAATTTTACCACGATTTAAATGACTACGACATTTTAACATTACATTATATATAGGGTACTGCGCAATCGACGGATTACACAACTGTAAACAGAAAGCAGTCAGGGACTGAAGGGGAAATTAAGATGTGTGAATTAAATAACTGTGAATTATTTTATGCTGGAAAATTTTTAATCATCAGCATCAGTAGCTAGAGGGTCTTCCTTCTAGTCAGTTTGGCATGATAAACAAGAGTGCATGCCCTTAAACATGTGATAAAAATTCAAAATCCATATTTTTGAAGATATCATGAAATTAGCGTTACATCAGACTTGTCCGTGCGGCTTGCAAATACAAAGTATTTACAACTCTAATATACAATATTTAGTAATTATTTACTAAATTATTATCTATTTTAAAAAAAAATATCATCGCACATGTTTGCCATTGCCGACTTAATTAAGAAAATTAAGCATTTGTCCACGAATTTTTGGACAACCCCTCGTATATCTATATTTATTCTCTCTGAAGAAAAATAGGGATCTCATTGGTAAAACGGTAAACGTAAGTAGTAAAAAGGAGTTCATCCTCATCTTACGTGTTCGAATCCCATAGCAAAACTTGAGACTTGTTTTTCAAATATGACAGTATGATCCGAGGCCCAGTGTGGCAGTAGGTGCTGGTACAAGAAAGATCCTTCATACGCAATGGTACTGATTGTCAAACAAAGGTATACGAAAAAATTGGCAGACCACCAACGGCAAGCAGTTGCTTTCATTATGTATGAAAAAGTCAAACAAATAACCACACAAATAAACAAGGAAAAACATTTGTCATTAGAAATGAAATGCATCACTAGTGTTCTTAAACAAATTTTCCCAGTCGTAAAAACCTTAGTTGATATTATGTATAAGCTTAATTCTACCTGCACCTTTTTTGCGAGGACTATAATTAAATTTAAATGTAAAGAGCAAGTGTTTTCTATGAGGTTCTGATTTAACGTAATAATTTAAAAGGAAATGTCTAATTTGGAATAAACCCCTTTATAGAACCCTTAATAAGATTATGCTATAAAATAACATTGTTTTAAATGCAATGTGGTTATTTCGTAATGGTATCACTTTTCAGCCACTATGGACGCACTCAGAGATATGCAGAGACTACTGGATATTTTTAATTAATTGTTATACACTTGTATGGTAGCTTCTGTTATTATGTACAGTCATGGGATTTTTGTTATATGATCGGAATTAGGTAAAGCTAGAATCTCTTTGTCCGTAAAAGCCGCTTATCAGTTAACATAAGAAAGATCACAATAGTCCTTGTCACAAGAAGCAGAGTTTCCACCCTAATCTTTATATCAAATCTCACCTCCCCGTCTAGTTTTTATACTTTTAGAATTTTCTTGACATACATTCCTAGGCTGATAAAAAATGAAGAAAAAAAATCTGCATGCTAAAAAATAAAACATGTAGTCAAATATAAATTACCCGAACAGACAAAGCTATGTAACAAATATATTCAGGATTCCATTGTCATATTTTAAACATAATACTGTAAAAGTGGTTATTTACACTGGTTGTTAAGTACGCGTTTAGGACTGTCAAACATTACGCGTGGGTATAATAAACGCGGTCGCTCGAGTTACCGAGAAAAATTTACGCGGCCATCAATATCGTAACTACATGTAACATCGGTTTGTACCCCTTTGAAAATGATAAGAAAAAAAATAAAAATAATTACAAACTTTAAAAAATACTGTTTACATTGTTTGGTTAATATAACGTCAATGTGTACAGTCAAATGCAGTGAAGTATGAACAACTGGCCATGGTGTGCGCTTTATTGTAATTATTAACGCAAACTCAAACTTCAAAGTGAAATCTACTTACCGGTATCTGCGTCTCGAGTTTTGACAGTTAATTTGATAGGTATGAGTGTAGTGACTGTGAGTTTATTTAACATTTTGGACTAATCATTGAAATTAAGAAAGTTATAAACGAATATACAAAGGAAATGAAAATGAGTATCGATGTTATATTGCGTGACGTTATTTGCTTTAAAATATTTAATATGAAGGTGCATTTTTCATCGCACAAGTAACATGATAATCATCACAGTTTGTGATATATTTGTGTATTCACGTGCGTTCAATACCACGATAAATATACGACTGGTTCAACCCGTCTAACAGTATAAGTAATAATCTAGAAATATTTCAGAAGATTGAAATTTTGTTACCATACGCGCGGGGGTATTTTACGCGGTTTTTAGCTTACCGCGTAAGTAGTGTAAATTTCCCCCACGCGTAAATAACCACTTTTACAGTATGCTATAAGATGTTACCGTAAGTCTAAGATGATTGAGGAATTCTTAATTAATCAAACTTCAATAACGTTTCTTTAATTGATTGAAATCCCTGTCACATTAACTTATCAGTGCGTAGCTTGCCTCGCTGTAAGAAATGATCGTACACAGAGCAAGCACTTGAGTTGCCGATAATTTTGGTGACATAGACACCATAAGCTGGTGATAGGGGAATATTACTAAATAAATAAGGAAAGTTGGTGTGGAGAAGGTTAAGGAATTACGTTTATCATTCAATTATGTTGTTATTTAGCTTGCAATTACAATGTCTCATAAATTTTTTTTTTCTTGTGTTGTGTAAGCCAATGACGACTCTTTTGGCGATTCCAAAAGTTTATTAAATAAATCCAATTTACAATTTTCCATGATCGTATAGTTTTAGAAATATTCGTTCCTGAAATATGATCAGAAAAGACCAATACACTTTTTATATAGATGTCCAAAGGGTCCGTCCAAAATAAAAAGAGTTTAAGACCGACCTTCAAATAAATAAATAAATAAATAAATAAAAGTCCATAAGAATGATTCCCAAAATAATAAAATGCCAGAGAGATGTAATAATTTAAGAATAAGACCGGGAATAGGAATAAATGCGGGAATTAAAACGGGAATACTCTTTTCTGACTAAAACAGAGTATTTTGTGCTCAGAGGGTATCCATGATCCAGGATATAAAAATACATTTCATTGGCTAATTCACCATCACCAACCACCTACGCTTTGTCCGTGGGTCTGTCCGTTGACCTTTGAACCCCAACATTGCACCACCCTCAAATGTAGGTAAATTTATGTTACTAATATTTATGGGCTCAGTCCCCATCTCTGCACCACAGGAGTTCTAGCCTTAAGCTCTCTTACTTACTTACTTCAAAGTTCCCAATTTTATTACTCTTAGTCAAAACTCTTAATAATACCATTGTATTCCGTTCAAATTTTATTACTTACTATCAATGGGCTTGATTGGTCTATTCGGATCAATTTCATTACAAAATGATCTACCAAATTATAGTGCATTTGAACAACAACAAAATCCAATTTGTTTTGCGAGATAATAATTGTTTACAAAATTAAAGTCCTTTTTTTATTATAAAGTCATTGAATTTGCGTCACTAATAATAAACATTCTGATTTAATAAACCTTTATATCATTTTACCTTCACTGCTAATAACTAAAATGATTAAGATATTCATATTGTCTAAGTTTAAAATGTTCATATAATATGTCTGTGCTAAACCCTATAGGTTTACAGTTGAAGATGATTGAAAAAAATGTTCTAGGTTTCATATTTTCACATTTTAAATGACTGTCATCATATGATATCCTGAGAGAAAACCCAGCCATACATTGACCCAATTTTAGATGTTCTGTGTATTTAGAGGAAAGCCTAGTTGCACAATATACGACACGCAACTAAATACATTTTCATTTTTTTTTAAAACATTGTTTGTTTCAGTAGAATCGTGTTCAGAGAACTCATGGATTAGTTTTGAAAGGATTTTAACTACATGATCGATATCAATTTAATTTATTTGTTTTAAAGTTGAACGTTTATTTGATTAATTAAGTGTTTACGTTCAATAAAAAAATAAGGAAAATGCAGTTTGTTTACTAATAGTCGTAGTCACCCGAATCTCACAGTAGTTAGAGTCTTCTCTAGAGTGCGGAGTAGGAAGTTGATCCTTATTTCGCTTGTTGGAATCCCACTGTGGGACATGGATACAAGGCCTTCAAATGAAACTGTATAAACCGAGGTCCCACAAAAGATCCCTCACTGCTCAATAGACCTGAGTGTCAAGCATGACAAAATTTATTACCTTCATCGGCAAGCAGAGAAACAAATGAACAAAAGTGCATTGTTGTAATAATACTATGAATGTGAAAAACGGAATTTACAAATGTTAGATATAACAGTCCTTATCACTATTTTGTTCCAATATACGTGGATTAAAACATGTTTAGAAGGTTTGCAATAGACATTGAGGGTCAGAAGATGTAAGAACAGTTTATATGCATATTCATATTACCTTACTAAAGATGCCATCTGACCCTAGTCTACAATAGATGTGTTCATCACGTGATGTCTAGCATAAACTGATCTGACACTTAAGTTCTAGACGGTCCACCTGTATTTGTTTTTCAATTTGTTTGTCTTGTCCATGATGTTTTGATGTACACAGGAGTGTATACATATTTGCCTGGACTTAAATTTGCCACCTTCTACAGCAGGTAGGTCGGCATTCTAGTTATTCTAGTTAGTTTCGCTACACGACCTTTGTGTATACAAGGAAGTAAATTTATTGACTTGTAGGGGATTTGTGTTTTGCCATGAACTTGGTCTCCTTTGTTTCTTTTTCATAATTTACTGTTAAATCCCAAATTTTCGGGGGAGTTCAATTTTCCTTAGTTTCGAGATATGACGAGGCCCACGAATTCATGTCCACCACGAAATGTAAAATGTTAATTCTTGATCCACGAAATCGAATCCCCGCGAACAAAGAGATTTTTCTCAAACCACGAATATTTGTTCCCACGAAAATATGTGATTTTACAGTATTTGTAGTTATCTTCAAACTAATTCCATAGTAACACCGCGATTCTTTGATATTAAAAGAAGTATAACTTAGATGTTGACAATCATATTTTAGTGCAGATTGAAATGTAATGGAATAATTATTTTTAAAAAATTGAAATATTAATAGATAATTGTGAAAGAACTGGAAGAAATCGGAAATAGAAACATAAGACCGTGGTCGTAAAAATGTTTGTAGAATCTGACAACTTTTAATGAGAGTTTTAACTATTCTTAAGATAAATATTCGTGTTCGCATTTATATAGCAGAGTTTGTAGCACTTTGAGCAAGTGCGGAAGGAATTGTATCATTTATTGCTCCATAAACTAATATGTTTGGGTTATCTTTTTTTCAGTTTTCGATCATTTATTCAATAACATACAATATAAAAGTGAGGTAAAACTTCCGCAGAAGCCCTCTGGTAATACCTCACCAGGGGTGCCAGGAGCCCGTTGGATCAATATAGTATTATATATCTCCAATTTTTGAACAAAATTTTTTCACATTATGCTAATATATAATTATTGACACTTCATTTTCATACATATACATAAATATCTCAAAGCAAATTAGAACCATTTTTATATATGATAACAAAATATACGTTTAACGACATTATACAAATATATAATTATGGACGCTTCATTTTCATACATATACATAAATATTATAAAGCAAATTAGCTCCATTTTTATATATAATAACAAAGTATACATTTAACATTAACAGAAGTATGACCCTTGTTGCAGTGGAGATTGTGTGGGAAAAAAAATAAAGAAATCTATATCAATCTGTTCGGTTTATCTTTACGATTTGCTCCTTTCTGTAAGCAGAGAAAATATTACTTACAACCCAAAATTGTCAAATTCTTTATCGTGAGAAATCAGAAAATTCAAAGTACATTGGGTCAATACTAAATATGAAAGGAATTTATATTAAAGAATAACTTGAAAGTAAAGCTTCCTCCTCACATACACCTAAATGATAGGTATAAAGACTATAAAAAGACTTATAAAATGACTTTATATACACTTATATAAAGACTATTGTTCCTTCAAACGGAAGGTAATCTTAAAATAATTACGTTACTTGCATGCCAAATAAAAGAGAGGATTTTTTTGTCGACGTTTCAGAAAGCTTCGCCTCAAAATTTAAAGTCATTTTAGCTTTTATAATGTCAAGCTTGAATTAACACTTGTGTATATGGAAATACAAATGATTAACTTGAAACCGTCAATTTAAAAGGACCTGTCATTTATCCCCTTACGATAAAAAAGACACGTGAACTCGTCCAAAGATACTTTTTCGGCAACTGCAAAAGTTACCTGAGATTCCTACACAAAGGAAAGCGCAAAATTTCTGTATAGAAACTGTTGAGGCTGCGGAGCTTCACTCAATGCTCATTCGCCATAAAAAATAGAACCCGACATTTAACACTTGCACTTAATATTTTTGATATAGTAATTTTCAACATCAGCTCTATTTTTGTTTATCTATAAAAATATATATTTTCGGGTTTTAAAACTGAGTTAATCGATGATATATCATCGTTTTAGATAACTCAAGCACCTCCATAGGGCTTGAGTAATAAAAAAAAGTTTTAAAAACTTATGAAAAAAATATCCCTTCAATATTTCTACCAAAGGTTAAAGGTAAACTTGTATCATACTGCATACAAAATAATTTTGATTTCAGTAGAATTACGATTTTGAATAGTTTTAACTGAAATAGGACTTCCATGTTTTAAAGGATTTCATTATAAAATCAAGTTTTATGGTTGATCAATTTACACCTGAATAGTTTGAGACATGGAAGGGCAGGTCTGCATACATTTAACCATTTTAATGATTAAATAAAATGCTCACTACGATATGATTAAATAAAAATATCAATCTACTCACGTAATACAGCAATGCTATATTTGAATAGGTATACAATTAGATTATATATTATACCTATCTGAATATCATCAAATCTTTTTAAGCTTGATCAATTATACACTCCTTCATTTTCCTGAGATGTTGGAACTTATGGCACAATGTTACACGTCAAATGACCTTTGGCAGCCTTTACAGAATACCTTCGTATCTTGGTGAAATACATGACCAAGATACAGTTTCATTTTGCATGTCAGGTTGAGAGGTTTGGCGTTTTGGATTATGAGTCTAGAGTTTTTTGTATTGTGCTTGATATGAAATTTTCAATTATAAATATACAAATATTTAATTACCTAATGAACATCTAAAACAACTCCATTGTAAATGTTTATGATGGCCAAAATCTTTGAAAAAGGTTATTACAGTATAGCTTTGTCATCTTGTCGAAAAAAAAAACCCGCAAGATTTTCTCATAGAGATCTAACAGTTATGACGTCATGGATTAGCTGTATAATCCCTGTGGAAAATATAGAATTTATAACATTCAGAGATGCCATGATTTAATATACAATGTATACACAGGTACCTGACGTTAAAAAAATATACCCCTACCTAATAATAAACAGCTGGTAGGGGTATGTATTTTTTATCTAAAGAAAAATAATAACACCAGGTGCCTGTGTATTGAACAGACATGTGACACCATTTGGGTGCGTTTTATAATTTGTATACCTGCAGGTCACATATTACATGCAGTTGATTGTGAATAAAATTGTCATTGTTTACATAAGATAACCCAACTACAAAAAAGGGACTTTGACATTGGCAATTTTGATGGTATTGTTTTCATGCTTAGCACAAAGATATTTCCCTGACCAGAACTGTTACAAAAGTGAAAACAACTATTACTTTTTAACAAAATTCATGCCACAGAAATTGCAGTAAGCTATTTCAGCAAGATGTTAGAAATCTTTGATAATCGTTCTCTTTGCCTTGAACGAAGGGAAGTATATAGTCCTATTTAAAGAATAACACTTTGTTTTGTTGAGAGTTTAATTTTCGTTTTCTTGTTACATTTCAGAGAAGCATTAAATGAATGATATGGCCTCCTCCTCTTACGCCTCTACAGAGGAGACGACAAATGCCTGTAGAGCCTGTCGACTTCTCTTGGGTCCATGTACAGATGAGTTACGTGATGTTTTACTTCACCATGTACCTCTACCAACATTCACACAGGTCATTAAACAAAAGAGGCGTAATCTTCCCCGTCTGACGGCACCACAGATGAATCTTTTGTTACCTTTGGGCAGCAATTATACTGGAAACTATGGTGACATGGATATTCCTTTATTGTACACACTGCTCAGAAACATTTGTAGCATATCTCCACACAGCAATGGCTGGGGAAATGATCCAGACCCTACAGATCGATCTCTCTCTGCCAACATTGAGAGAATCCGTATTGCCAGAAATCAGTGTGTACATTCTTCTATCCCCGTCCTCTCCAATGCTGATTTCAACACAATCTGGTCCACTGTCAGATCAGCAGTTGTGGACCTTGATTCTTTCCTTAACAACGGGAACCAGTTTGAAAGAGCGGTAGACTTTTTAAGTCATGAGACAATGGATCCTGTCCGTGACTGCCATTACATAGAAGAACTGAGGAAACAGGCTGAAGAAGATGCAGAAACTAGACAATTGGTCCAAGGACTGAAAGGTAATTAAGACGAAGTTTGATGAAATTAAGTTTAATGTTTTTAAATGTGTATTTGCAATGAATGCTTACTTAAAATCTGTTTTTCCTTTCAGAAAAATTGGAGGAGAGTGAAACGGAGAGAAATGAGAATCACAATAAAATACTGAAAATTGTTGGTAAGTACCATTGGAACATTGATACATATTCATTTATGAGCTCATAAAACTGTTTTTTAAAAACTGTATGATATTCAGACTCCACACAAACTAATATTATGAAAAAACACCAGAATCGGGATCCCTCAACGAATCATGAAGAATGACAATTGCTGTAAAGACTTTAACACATGTAAAGTGAATAATGATACATAATTATCTAAAATAATTTCAAGTTTATCATCTATTTGAGGGTTGGGAATAATATACATGTATGAATTATCATGCTAGATTTTTTTGCATGAAATACTGAATATGTTAATAGCGTATAGATAGCTAACCATTCTTCGATTTAGTTACATCTTTAAAGAAGCTAAAAACAGACGACAAACTAGCTTAACGACTTTATATACAGTAAACACATGTTTGTCTATTGTTCTCCGTTTAACAGCAATCGCAAATTTGCTTTGATAATCTTATGTCAAAACGAGATTGAATAATGATTTATTGAATAATTTAAAAGCTATTATCTCAAAGTAATCTTTCTCGCTTATGAACAAAAAACAATAAAAACTTAATAGAACTTTATTTGTGGTACTTTGGAGAATGACTAATAGGCAATCATTCCTCTGTATAGAGCCAATTCAAATTTGTTTTAATCCTGATCAAGAAATCTCGTATTAGCATGATAAACAATTAAATCGATGCCCTGGTATCTTAGTCTATATCCTGGCAAAGTACGGAAACTTTTTTAAACATTTGGTTTTTTTTTGAGAAAAAAAAATATTTTGGGAACATGTCATCAGACCCTACTTTAATGCTCTAAATGTTTGCTTAAATATATAAAGACTAGGAAAGTATCGGGTACACATAGTTAAAAACTATCTTCTACATGTATAACACTTTTGTTTATAAGTTCAATTCAATAACCTTATTTTTTCCCTTCATTTTCATCAGTATAAAGTAATGCCCTCATTGGCCAACCTTTTCAAAGCTGCTTGTTTGTTGGATGCTATCATGTCAAAGGGGGAGGATGGATTACTCTGACAATCTTTTTCGCTTTTGTACGAAATTGGAACTAAGTAGCGAGTTCTTTTTACACAGTCGCCCAAAAGTTTGGTTAAAAAAATCGAGATTATTAAACCTCTATTGATAATACTCGATTTTGTTTGGCTTGTAAGAAAACTTTAAAATACAACAATGATTCCAAATGGTCCTGCGTACAGCAATAAAAAAAACCTGTATGAAGGAAAGCAGAAAGATCAAATTAATTTTATATCCAAAAACAGAATACATTATAAAATTAAAATATCCCAGTAGAAATCCCAGATTTTTTAGAGTCATTCTTATTGAGTCCTAATAGAGAAACTTAAAGTGTTCCAAGGAATGCATGTGTTGTTTGCTTTAAGCTTCAATAAAGGAGTAACTAAACTCTAAAAATGGTCAGCTATTCATCTGATACAAGTGTATAGTTTATGAAAAAAAGAATAAAAGTCTATGGATACTAAGACTCTATTACAGATCGATGTGGGAAAACACCAGATAGATATCGAAATTATATCATGTAAATTAAATATTGTTAATATATTGTAAAATGCAGTATCACATTCATTGTGCTAAATGTAGTATGTTCCACAATGCAAGTTCAAATGTTAAAATGTCCAATGAAAATCTAAATCAATTTGATTATGAATGTGGATGATGGTCAAAATCCCTGAAAAAATTTCTTGAAGTATTCTTTTGCCATTACTTTGAAATAAAATCATACAATAAGTTTGCCTTTGATTGAAATTACTATTTATTTGTTTCATATTTATTAAGCTTATATCTACATGTAACTGTATGTGAAAAAAAATATAATGAAATCTTTCTTTGCAAAGGTTGAGTTTTGCCACAAAATAACACAGAATAATTTTCATAAATATGCCATCTAAAAAGTCTTTTTTTTACTATATATTTCAGATGAAATAAAAAAACCAAAGTCTGTAATCCCTCCAAATGTCAAAGGTATGTTAGTGAATTCAAAAATAATAGTTGGCAAATTGAAATATTTTTAAAAGATTAATTAACCTTGACTTGTTTCAATTAAAAAACATAGTGTATGTACATTCTTGTTTATATTTACATGGTGGCAATGGGATTGACAAATATTTAAATGATTCAAAATTTTAATTTAAACTTAATTCAAAACGTTTTAGTATTAATACATCTTGAAGGACTTTCTGAAATATATAATAAGAAGAATTCAGATATTCCTTTCCTTCAGAATTGTGCAAGAGATAAGAAATTATAAAATCTACCTTTTTTGCTCTTGTATATTGATTGATTGTATATTGTTTAATGTCCCTCTCAAGAATTTTTCAATCATAAAAAATCTAGACATATTCTTAGTCTGGTTTTTGTGTTTATCTCCATAAAACAGTTTGTGGAGGTAAACCCATATCTCTGGATGATGCAGACTAGACCTATACTGGGCACTCAGGGCCATTGAGCAGTCAGTGTTCTTTATCGTGACACGGTACCTACGTTTGTAAGGTCATATCGACATACCCGTGACTTTCACTTATAGTGCTGAGCTCTTGGCGAAGGAAGTTACTACCTTTGTTTACGTCTTAGGTATGACGCAGCGCCGCGAACGAGAATCGAACCCGAGCTTATGCTCTACCACAAGGCTACCCTGACCGGTGCTCTTGTATATGTAAAGAAGTCGGTTCACTTTATGCTTAAAATGGCCCTGTAGATGTACCAATTGATTAATTAACATTAGAATTTTCCATTTGAGGCATTAAAATAAAATAAAGACCTTGTGCTTTCGTTTTCTATTAAAAATTTTCTTCTAAAAGTCCAGGTATTTGAGAACTGGCTCTATGAAATTGCAATGTTCTTGAATTTTTAGGTAAAAAGGTATAAATGAGTTCTTTCAGTGAAGAAAAATAGTATCAGCGCACTCTCTGATCTAAAAAATAATACATGTCTTTTAATCCCCATAAACAGTTCTATCATTTAGTAGTTGCATATTTGAGATCAGAGGTTGCGCTCTATATCAAATATTAAAAAACAGGTTCGAAAATTGGCTGTTTTGTAGACTTTTTCAGAAAATATGGAAATTGACGCGTTTCGTGACGTCATTTAAAAAATAAACAACGTTATTCAGTGAACATGGATTTATGAATAGCAATTGCTCTGCTGGCATATTCCATGATGCGCGTTAGTGCATCATGGAAAATATGCCAGCAGAGCTATTGCTATTCATAATGCCATGTTCACTGAATAATCGTTGTTTATTACTTATATTTGCATATGTTGCCAAGAGTATTAGAGGAAATCCTGGCTGACATTAGGATGTGGCTCGTTGTCTTCAGTAAAGAAAAACACAAGGCTATAAAACGAGTATAATACCTGATCATTGCACCTTTTCTCTAATAAATCACAAACAAATTGTACAGTATTTGCTTCTTAATAACAGTTATCTGGATACAAACTGCACTGTCGTCACATTCTCTTAATTTTTGTTTTGATGCAGTTGTGACGTCATCGATCAACCTTATTGAAACTCTCTGACAAAAATCAATAATTTAACCTTATGATAAAAAAGGGAATGTTTTGATAATGATTATAACTCCAGAATGTTTTTCTTTGATTTTTTAAGTTTTTGTATTTATTTTCAACAGTTGAAATCATTTTGAAATAGACTTACTTATTATAGAATTTTTGCTTTTTCTGAATGTTTATCACCCAAGTGTGAAGAGTTATCGTTATTTGTACAAATATGCAAAAAAAAAAATGATAAGAAAAAATACAAATATGACAGTTCTCTTCAATTTTTAAAAAGTTTTAATACACAATTAAATACATTGACCAAAATTAAATTTTTAAAGAAATAAATCTGCAATTTTAAATTGTTCTGAATTTCTTTTTTTTCCTAAAAATATTATTAAAAACTTATATTTATTCCTTTTACCGAACATTTCATATATATACTCCTCAACAACAAATACTATTGTAGCGGAGCTTGTTCCACACGAATGTGGTAGAGCAATTGCACTCATAGCAGGAGCAATTGCGTTTATAGCGCTATGAACGTAGTTGAAGCCTGTAGGTTAATAGTGGGAGAGAGCAGTGAATATGCAAACATAACGCATTGGCTAGACAGAAAATGACGTCATTTTTTTATAGATACGCAGTCACCAAAGATCTGAGTGATTATTCAATGCGTTGTTAGTTAAAACTATGCAGTTTCAGTTTTTCAGAAATTCACAGGGCCAAATAAGGAAAAAGTGAACCTAGTTCTTTGTAAAATAATCATTTTTTGCTCTTGTATATGTAATATTGAAAAAAGTTTTTTTTTCTTGATAATTAATGTTATTTGTCTCTGCTCTTATTTTGTATATTGTTTGGTGGACTTTGAGCTTGAATACTGTTCGTCATCTTCATATCCTTCTCAGTCGCCCGCATGGTATAGTTCTTAGAACTTCTGCTCCAGAGTCGCAGCGTAAGAAGCTGATCCTTATGTCCCGGGTTCAATTCCACTACAGGACATAGGGACTGTCCTTTCGATAGGGCCATATAAACCGCGCAGTAGGTATGGGCATGAAAAAGATCCCACCCTGCTCAAAGGACCTGAGTGACGAGTATAGGTTTAAATTTGCATCCCACCACCGACAAATGGTGGTGTCTCCAAATGAGCGAAGAATTCTCGAGAGAGAATCTTTGTTGCTGGTTTGAAAAGTTTAAATATAAAAAATGTCCGAAAAATATGTAATTTTAATCAATTAGGAAAACTCACGAAAAAAGAATTTTGCTTCAAGAAGGATAAAATGGAGATAACGAACAGTATTCAATCTCAAAGTCTATAAAACAATACAAAATAAGAGGAGAGCAAACATCAGATCAGATTAGAGGTGGAATCAGATCAGAGGTGGGATAAATTAAATTTATTATAAAATGTAGTGTACCTTATTTACCTCTTTTGCTTAAATTGAATGTTGATAACTTTTTGTGTTATCTTCACACCCCTACTAATTGTGATTTAAATTCAAGACACGTGGATTAGGTTGATCTATTCAAAGGTTATAGGGTAGAACCGGTTTTATAAATAAAATAAACAGTAAACATGATATTACTATAGCCTGTTTCTTTTGAAAGCATGTCCTGTAATAAATGTTTCCAGACCTTTCTAAAAGATTTTCATGATTTTCAACATAGAAAGGGTGACTCAAAGTAGGGGGGTTAATATAACAATATATCTTATAATTTACGGCGAAAATTAGAGCTCACTAGTGACCAAATCACTGGTAGATAATGTGCATTATTATCTACACTGACAAACCTCTGTTTGCCTTATATCGCTCTTGAAACAATGCGCACAGAGATCATACCACGAGCAACCGACCAATCGTCGAATGAAAAGTAGAAAGAAGAGCAACGTTTACAAGCGTTTTTAATTTGTTGTTAGATGGAAAAATATTTAATAAAATGTAGTCTAGTTCAGAACACCAGTGCCTCAAGGGTAATGAAAACGAACAGCATATCTTATGCATTTAAATGGACAAAACTTTGTTTACGATCGTGATCACGTGTTTGGCCAGGGAATTCACCTGACAATTGTATTCACCGATAGCACAACAAAGGATTAAATACAGAGGGAAAAACCTTTTGCGGTATGACTTTCAGAAACCTAGACTTCCGCCGTTTATTTAACAAATGAATTGTTTGTCATTATGAGCATGAAAAAAAATATTTTTAAAAATGCTTTTCATTTACCATAAGGTTTTCCTTTTCCATGCTTAACATTCTTGTAGTATTCATAGTTACCCATAATGCAATACTCTTTCAGCTGATTGGTCAGTTAAAATCAGGTCGAGGCTATTTGGTACCGCCTGGAAGGTGGCGGGAGTTATCTTTCCATAAGTGTACACGAGTTATCTCGCATTGCTGTGACGTATAATGAAACCATATTAATTCGTTCTTCGTTTGGTTCATGCTTATGTAAATATGTAAAACGGAAAGAAACTCAGTGTGTGTGAGGGAGGATGTGGGTGTTGGGGGGGGGGGGGGGTCGACATAACAATTTTAATTATATTCAATAGAAAACAAAGGTGTTTTACAGACCATCCACCAAAAAAATTAATTAAAAAAATTAGAAAGAAATTGACGTTAAGTACTATAAATAATTTATATTTATAAACACATATTTGCCCTGCTTAGAGATCACATCCGGAGTACATTGGGAGAGGCGCGCGATTACCAGACTTACAGATACCCCACCCCCACCCCCACCCCAACTCCCCCCCCACACACACACAGATAAACCCAGTCAATGCAAGACGAGGAATTTAATGAACGGAATGCGTCTTTTATATGTCGATTTAAAATTTTTTTGCATATATTGGTTTGAAGTAGGCATAAACGGTATAATTCAACAAAAATGTTCACAGCCGTACTTTAACGGCATATGATATATATTTCAATTAATCATTTATAATTAGATTTTTTTTCAAACATAAACTTTTAATTCGAACTGCTCTAACAATTTTCAGTATTTAATTCCTATAAGCACTTGAAATCATTTTATTTTCTATTTGGCATTTTTAAAAAGAATCATTATCGCACACAAAATATTTTCGAGGAAAATGTCAATTTATTCCATATCTCTCGAGATCAATACAATGAGCCTATGAAGATAGATGTACATGTATATTGAAATGTTTTTTCCGACTATTATCAAATATAGGGCGTCATGAAAATATGTCAATAAATGAGAACATTTCTCTAAGGCATGGCTTGGCAATGAACTTTTCTTTCATGCAACTGAAATAAAAAGAAAAAGACCTCAAGAATAAAAAAAGAAAGCATACGTATGAATGTGATCCTAAACATGACATAGGCCTCGGAAGCAAATTGAAAGGGGGGCAAATTGAAAGGGAGGGTAGGCTGAACCAACAAAAAAGGTAAACTCCAATTTTCAATGCATGCCTATATTTTGTATATATTTGCAAAAAAAGTGG